ATCCAGATGACATGACCATCAAGTCATGAAAAAATTTGGCTTGAGGGGCAGGTGACGTGAACATGCCGTCATGGGAAGATTTGATTGTGGGCGGGTGGCGCGATTTGCTGTCACGAGCATTTCAGCTGAAAACCAGGGTCAATAGAAAGACTCGCCATGAGTGCACAATCCTCTTAGAGGGTGATTGAACTCATTTGGCATCTGGGAAGGAGCTTTGGTAATGTCCATGTGCCATGAGCAGCTCCAGGGAAGTCACTATCACCATGCTCAGGATGTATTACAGAAAACTGAATATTATGAAAAAAAATATTAACGACACAAATAACAAAATGTTATTGTTATCATTATTGCAGAGTTATAGATTACACACAGATGATACAGAGTCTGTGCAAGGAAAACAGTCTATTATCATCTGGATGAAGCAAATCAAATGACAAAGATAGACATTGGAAAATGATAAAAAAGCTAAAATGCTTATGCAGAAAAAGAGAAAATAACATTGCAAAGGGGAGTCACTGCACAAGAATTTTTATTTGCGCCCAGGCTACAAGCCCCACGCCCGGTAGTGTCCACTCACATAAGCCTAGTGCCCCATTTTGGGCCACATGATGGCAGTGAAGCATCTGGATCCAATGGGTTAATGATTTTGATTTTAAATTAAATTAATATATTTTAGTTTTAACAGTTAAAAGGCATCTCTTCTACTTATTTTTATAGTTGTATTACTCAATTTATAACTATTAAGTACAGTATACTTAGATAAAATATATTTATATGGCAGAAAAACTATTTTGGTAGGTCAAAATTGCTAGTTGTAATTCTAATTCTAAAATTTGGGTTTGATGCTTAATACCCCTTTTTTACACATTTTTCATAATAGATATGTAATACATCCGTTTGCTGAGGTTTGTATTGAAATTAATTCCCACACAATTTGAACAATATAAACCATAGTAAATGATATACAGCCTCACTCTCCTTCCATAAGGTTCCCTTGGATGGCTTACTGCCACTGTCTTGGATGCATAGGTATTAAGCAGACTGTGCACTTTGGTGACGTGAAAAAAGGGTGAACTGTGAATCAGCATAAATCATGAAGCTACTGTTTTGGATGTCTTCTTTGAGACTCCAAATCAAAGGACAAAGAAGTGCTCAGTGATCTCAAAACAGCCAATGATCAGAGAGGAGATGTCTCACAACTCAGCTGAACTGAAGACTGTCCTAGTTCAGCCTCATCAATGCTACTATCACACTAACCCGTGAGGCCTCTTCTTCCCCCGATGACCTTGAGCGGCGATGATGGGCACTTGGAACTGCCAGTTTGGTGGCATTCACAAAAGGAGCATCAATAGGGAGTCTTGGATCCATAAATGAAGTTGTCTTACTTGAATGGTCAATGAAGAAAAGCTGAAAGACAGAGGACATATAATCATTACTCAAGCCCGTTGCAAATTTCACTCCAGAAAAAAGAAGAGAAAGTTTATTAGGAAATATTATATAAAATCAATCAATATAAAAATAGATTTAATGACGACTAAGATGTAGGCCTGCAAAACACAGATTATAATATATGAGAGAAAGCAATATTGACGGGAACTTCTCTTATATTTCAAGGGCCAGAAGTTCACAATATAACATACAGCTTTGCTAACACAAGAAAACAATTAACTACAATACTACCTTTCCTGATCGATCATATTTGGCCTCCCACCCAGAGGGCAAATCCCGCTCTCTGTATGCAAATTGGTTTACAAGGTTAACAAGATCCCGGTTGTGCTGATATCTTGTGAATGCTGCTGGATCACGCCTTATCCGTGATATCATGTGGCGAAGGGATGCACTTCTCTCATATACAATGCAAGCTTCCTGTTGAATTGAAGAAAACAGGAACATAAGCTGTATTTCCAGGTTTCTCTAATAATACATACATCACCTCTCTATGATAAATACAAAAAGATCCTCACAAAGTACAACTCTGTAACGAAATGAAAGCTAGTAAAAGATTGATATAAGACACAAATGGATAACAATAGAGGACTTTTTTTTTTTTTTTTTTATAAAAATAGAATTTGAAAACCATGCCGAAAATAGATCAGTTGGTATTTTTAAGAAACAGCTGCAGAAATTATTATCTCTTAAAATATTGGTATTCATTAATTTTTCATGTCATATCTTTGTATATATTCTTATTTTTTGAACTTTACAACTCATCACATGCATTGCATTTCTATATTAAATAAATATATAAGTAAATAAATAAATAAATAAATAAATAAATAAACAAAAAAAAATTAACAGACAATTTCATTTATATTCAATATTTTCACTATTTCTAAGAACCAAACAAGGTCTTCAGACATAATGCCATATCATATATAGGCATTACATATGTGACCAGATTTTAAAATGTCTTGCTCAAAACCCATGAGACTTACATCATTCATGTGCAGGACGCTGAAGAAGTCTGATCTGGTGAGGAACTTGACAGCTGGTAGCTGGAGGAGCATGTCCATTCGCTCAATGCCGGAGGAGGATGTCGACGTCGACGGGCCACAGCTTGACGCCTGGGGGTGGGACGCCGAGGTAGACGGCAATGAGGACTGCGTTGCTGCTGTGGAAGTTGTGGAAGAGGAGGAGGAGGAGGAGGCGGTGGCACCGGATGAAGACGGGGTTGCAGGCAGGGATGATGAGCTGTTGTGTGCTGATGTCGCTGATGAAAGATTTAAGGCTGGCGTGGCAGAAGACGGACTTGACACATCTGGACAGAGATATTTTATTAGGAATATACAGCTTATTCACCTATCCTCCCCTGGCTAAAATACCCAATGGAAATTCAATATGAAACATTGGTTGCCAAACTTTTCTAAGTCTTGCAACACTGTTGATGTTTAATCAAATCTCATACCAACTACAAGTAATCCCACATCTGGTTATGACAGCATGAAATTTATTATAACCTCTCTCAATATCATCATCTTTAATGAACTGCATACAATATTAGGGTGATGAAACACACAGATATATCCCCCCCCCCCTACAATGCCAAAGAGTCTGAAAAAAACTATATTTGTTAGTCATTGACAGGCCATCTTGCACATCCTGGTGGTGCAGGCCCCCTAAGCTAGAGCCCTAATCTAAAATAAAATCATGCTTTTCATCTAAGGCTGATTAACAAAATTGTCCATAAAAGAGGCCTACAGAATAAATTGCCTTGACCATATGAAATAGATGTTCTTAAAAAAAAGAAGCTTACTAATAGTAGATGTAGATGAAGCTGTTGCCACTGGACCAGATGATGGAGAAGACAGTGAAGGCGTTGAGGTTGAGGAAGGGAAGATGCCCGAAGAGGCTCCAGGGAACTCCTCAATCTCGACTCTCCTGGAGGTGATGGTTCTGCGGATGCTCTGGTACCTGGCATGGGCAGAGGGACTTGCTTTAGGCTCAGGGCTTGCAAGTATCTTTCCTTTTACCATGATCATTATGATTATCCTCATCATTACTGTAATCATTATTATTATTACATTATTATTATCATTGGTGGTGGTGGTGGTGGTGGTGGTGGTGGTGGTGGTGGTGGTGGTGGTGGTGGTGGTGGTGGAGGAGAGGAGGAGGAGAGGAGGAGGAGGAAGAGGAGGGAGAGGAGGAGGAGGAGGAGGAGGAGGAAGAGGAGGAGGAGGAGGAGGAGGAGAAGAGGAGGAGGAGGAGGAGGAGGAGGAGAGGAGGAGGAGGAAGGAGGAGGAGGAGGAGGAAGAGGAGGAGGAGGAGGAGGAGGAGGAGGAGGAGGAGGAGGAGGAGGAGGAGGAGGAGGAGGAGGAGGAGGAGGAGGAGGAGAGGAGGAGGAAGAGGAGGAGAGGAGGAGGAGGAGGAGGAGAGGAGGAGGAGGAGGAGGAGGAGGAGGAGGAAGAGGAGGAGGAGGAGGAGAGGAGGAGGAGAGGAGGAGGAGGAAGAGGAGGAGGAGGAGGAGGAGAGGAGGAGGAGAGGAGGAGGAGGAGGAGGAGGAGAGGAGGAGGAGGAGGAGAGGAGGAGGAGGAGAGGAGGAGGAGGAAGAGGAGGAGGAGGAGGAGAAGAGGAGGAGAAGAGGAGGAGGAGGAGGAGGAAGAGGAGGAGGAGGAGGAGGAGGAGGAGGAGGAAGAGGAGGAGGAGGAGGAGGAGGAGGAGGAGGAGAGGAGGAGGAGGAGGAGGAGGAGGAGGAGGAGAGGAGGAGGAGGAGGAGGAGGAGGAGGAAGAGGAGGAGGAGGAGGAGAGAGGAGGAGGAGAAGAGGAGGAGGAGGAGGAGGAGGAGGAGGAGGAGGAGGAGGAGGAGGAGGAGGAGGAGAGAGGAGGAAGAGGAGGAAGGAGGAGGAGAGAGGAGGAGGAGGAGGAGGAGGAGGAGGAGGAGGAGGAGGAGAGGAGGAGGAGGAGGAGGAGGAGGAAGAGGAGGAGGAGGAGGAGAGAGGAGGAGGAGGAGGAGGAGGAGGAGGAAGAGGAGGAGAGGAGGAAGAGGAGGAGAGGAGAGGAGGAGGAGGAGGAGGAGGAGGAGGAAGAGGAGGAAGAGGAGGAAGAGGAGGAGAAGAGGAGGAGGAGAGGAGGAGGAGGAGGAGGAGGAAGAGGAGGAGAGGAGGAGGAGGAGGAGGAAGAGGAGGAGGAGGAGGAGGAGGAGGAGGAGGAGGAAGAGGAGGAGGAGGAAGAGGAGGAGGAGGAGGAGGAGGAGGAGGAAGAGGAGGAAGAGGAGGAGGAGGAAGAGGAGGAGGAGGAGGAGAGGAGGAGGAAGAGGAGAAGAGGAGGAGGAGGAGGAGGAGGAGGAGGAGGAAGAGGAGGAAGAGGAGGAGAGGAGGAAGAGGAGGAAGAGGAGGGAGGAGGAGGAGGAGTAGGATGGAGGGAAGAGGAGGAGGAGGAGGAAGCAGAGGAAGAGGAAGAGGAAGAGGAGGAGGAGGAGGAGAGGAGGAGGAGAGGAGGAGGAGGAGGAGGAGGAGAAAGAGGAGGAAGAGGAGGTGGTGGTGGTGGTAATAACAATAACAATA